TATATGTATATGTGTGTGTGTATGTGATTCTCAAAAGCTGACATCATCACTGACTTCACTCTGAATTAGATCTGAATCAGATGAATTAAAATAAAGTGACATAATGATGAAGATAAGTAAAAGTGAAGGTTGAGGATGAACAGATTTTGTTTATCAGGTGAAATCTGTGATTAAACTCTAGAAGACGTATTTAATGAACCCTGCAGAGTTCTGATCTCACGTCAGATCAATAAACCATCGGGAGGAGCTGAGCAGCTGAAGACAAGAACACACTCTGGAGCCACTTCCTGACGATGCCTTGTTCATAAAGAGTTTATAAAAGGTCATCACTGACTCACAGACCATTTACTTATGTTCTATACATCCGTTATTAAGAAGAACTTTTTATATCCACCAGCGTTGGATTATTTATTTATTTCATTCATATTTAATTAACGAGGGAGACTTCTAATGGTTGATCCTATGGTTTGATTGGAAAGGACATGTGGACGTTCATTAATGATTTATTAACAATTATAGACACATAACTGACGGTCCGTTGAACCCTGCTATCCTTTAATGACTCTTATTTAAAAAAGGTTATACACTCTAAAGTTATATTTAACGATTATTAAACACAGATAAACTAATTAATTACATATTACGAACCATTTCTAATTAGATTTTAAAAACGGTTATAAATGGTTTCCTATAATAAAAGTGACCATCATCACCTCGGTGATCAGGTCACTGCTTGTTTAAATGTTGCACCTCAGTGTGTGTCTGTGTGTGTTGAGACACATTCACCACTAGATGACAGTGGCTTTTCTTTTCTCAGCTCCAGGTGTCGTTCATCGAATCGTTACCGTAATCCTGAAAAACCCACAGGAGAAGCTCTGACTGCTTCAGTAAAGAACCCGTCATCATTTACTCACGAAGCCTTAAACTGTTAAACTTCTGAAAACACGTCAGTCCACAGCGAGAGAGAGACTTTAATGAAAACAAATGCACAAATATATAAATGTTATCTCATGTTTAATGGGGTCTTTTCCCATTAATCAATCAAACTGTATTTAATACAGCATCTTTCAAACTAATCAATTGTTCACTGTGCTTTGACAAAATATTAAAAAAGGATTAATACGTTTACAGACTCATGCTCTCATACGTTGTGAGCGATTACAAGAACAATAAAATGTTAATAAAACAAGGAAGAATGAATAATAAAAAGATAAGAGATTATAAAATAGATGTTAGGAAAATAAAAAAGCCAGTGTAAAGTCTACAGCGCTCCTGAAGTCCCAAAAGATATTTATCTAGGATATTTAAAACTGCTAGATCATGTTATAGTGACTCATAATCATAATAATCATAATAATGATTTCAGCTCGGTACACGGCAGCAAGAAAACATGTCTTGTCAGGGCTGCAGTAAAACAGTGAGAATACGGATTACTTGAATTATCATTATATATAACATTATTTTTGAATACTACAAGCATTAATAGTATGCTGTGACAAAAACCTTGTGCCTGTCTATTAGAGAGGTGTTGGTGGTGAGTGGGGGGGGGGGATGTAGAGACAAGCTGTAGAGACAAGCTGTCAATCTGTGCTGCGGCCTCGTGCATCATCAGTGGACATACGAACAACGTCAGCCTCTCAGATCAACCTCCACATTCAGGTAAACTCACTTCAGTGCTCGATGGAATAGTTGTAATAGAAATCCTGTGATGGCAAAAGGAGAATATTGATGATTTGTGCGTAAAACAACGAGCTGATCTGTAGTTTCTTAAGAAGATTAGGTGAAGCGACGCTGAGAACGACAAGCTGGAGGCTCACCAACGGCAACAGAAGCTTTTTCTTTTGTCTGTTATTGTGAAAGAGAAAGAAAAAAACTAAATATCAGAGATAGTTTGATAAAACCTCAGAAAGAAAACGCACGTTGATAACTCTTCCTCTCAGATGTGTATCTGCAGCTGTGGGAAACCGTGAACAAGCTGTTTCACCTGTCAAACCTTCCTCTGGTTTTATTTCTCTTTGTTTACACACATTTGCAAACAGTGGAGCTGCTAACCCAGATTCCCTTTGGGACGTCTCTCAGGAATAAGCGGCCTCCTGGCCGAGGCTCCGGTGTCTGTCGTCCTAATCTCCCTCGCACCTGCTGAGGCCGTGCCGAGCTGTAAAAATAGGGGTCATAAGAGGATCCGCCTGGTGTCGGTGTGAAGGAGCCGGTGGAGAGTGATCCTGAGGAGCCGAGGAGCCGAGGCAAACATTTACAGTCGCTGCTGCTTAACCAACAGAGCACGGAGGCCTCTTGGATTAAATATCAGTGAAGTTGGGACAGGAGCTGATTTTCTTCTCCCCGGGTTAATGTGTGATTTAATGCTTAAATGACCTGATGTGATTTACTTTCATTTAATCAGTGTTGGAAGTTGTTTTGGAGATTTGAAGTATAAGCACTTTAGAACTGAGAGTGAGGCTTGATTACTACAGAAGTGACTCTCCCACACGCCTGTAGTGGCAGCGTTAGGTTTGGTTTCATTTGGTCTCTGAGAGGCCGAGATACACGTCAACACAATCAGGGAGCTGGAGCAAATTTCATTTCTGGTGCTTTCTTGACTGATAATATAACATTTAAAAAAATTCAACATGACTCCTCTGTTCCAGACTCAATGTCCCTGTCGCTCCGTGTTACACACATCAATCCATCATTTCACTGGTCGAATGAAGTCGCAACAAAAACGACTGAAGGGCAGAAGCAGAAATCTCAGCTGGATTCATTGAAACGCGAAGAAGTAAAATAGAAACCAGAGTGAAGTTTACTTCTTTAATTCAAATACAAAGTGAATTTTAACTGTAAAATCAAAAAAGGGATTAGAATCGTATGTACATCGAGTTTCATAATGTTTAATGTGAAGCATTTTACTTGTGTTGTAAAGTGCTATATGATATTATTATCATTGTTGTTGAGGTTTAAAGATGCAGCTAAGGTCAGAGAGGTTGAAGGTTTATATTGGATTTTATTGTCGTCTGCGTTTTGTTTGCTTCTTCGTTTCTAATCCCCAAAAACAACAAAACCGCTTCCCGTGAGATTTCGCGGTGGCGTGAGACAATGACCCGAGAAAGAACCCGTTAAGTTTTGGTGGGTACTCGATGGGAGAGCAGATCCAGGAGTTTCTTTGATATTTACTGATTGGATTTGACCTTTGGGCCTCGGCAGAGGTTCGAGGTCCACAGCGTTGGATGGGTTCTCTCCTGGTGACGTGTTGGGATAAGTTCTGCAGGTGTGCAGTCTCTGTACTAAGTGCCTGTGAAGCAATAACACCCTAAGACAAGGCCTGCACTGTTGTTTTAGCAGAACCCAGACGCGTCTCGTTTTCTTCCACAGAATCTCAGCTGGATGGAACACGGATGTCCGACCTGTGGTGGCCTCCCGGTGCACGAGGGGTTCACCACCACCACCACACACTGGAGCTGTTTGTGAATCAGCTGTGACACGTCCACGTCTTCCTGGCAGCTCACCCCAGCACCACACTTCCTGTCCCACTTTTAACAGACTTCAGTTCTCCCTGATGTTGCGTCACCTCACCTGCGTTCAGGAAACCACAGTGGAGTCATCAGAGGGCCTCATCAGGAAGCCCACACAGTCAGGAGTGTAGTGTGTGTGTGTGTGCGTGTGTGTGTGTGTGTGGATTTATGTTTCTATGTAGTGCGTGTGTGCGAGAGCGGTGCAGCCTTGGATCCATCGTGGAACCACAGTCCGCCCGGGCGCCCAGCCTTCGGGCCGGAGACGCTGCAGACCAGCAACTACTCTCTGGTGCTGCTGATCCAGCTCAGCCTGCTCTCCTTCGACCTGTTCGTCAACTCGTTCAGCGAGCTGCTGAGGACTGAGCCCGCCGTGCAGCTGGTGCTTTTCATGTAAGTTACACACAAGCATCATCTGTGGAAGCTGGATTGACGTGAAATTTTGACATTTTCCTCCTCTCAAAGTTTTCATGTCCTTCTCTTCTCTCCTTCTTGTGCTTTTCTGTTCGACAGAATCCAGGACATCTCCATCCTGTTTAACCTGATCATCATCCTGCTGATGCTGTTCAACACCTTCGTGTTCCAGGTCGGCCTGGTCGCCATATTGCTCGAGCGGTTTAGAATGCTGCTAATGCTCTCTGCCCTCTACCTGACCTTCAGCATCATACTCCACTCCTGGCTCATGGTGCGTAACAGCAGATGAGAACTTGTTCAGTTTGGTTTCACACATGAGAAGAAGAGCATCGAGTGGTTTTCCTCCTCTCTGTGTTTTAAGTAAAGAGACATTTCCTGTTTTCTTGAATCTTTTCAGAATCTGCGTTGGCTGAACACCAACAGATACGTGTGGACAGACGGTCTTCAGGTGCTGTTCGTGTTCCAAAGAACCGGTGAGATGAACCTTTGTTTGGAAAAAAGGGAGGTTGTACAGTTCATGAGTTTAAAATTAAATCAAACACAATATTTAACCCACCGAGCGAGGCAGACATTACATTTCTTTAATATAAATTATATTTTGAGTTGGAAACATGCTCAGTTTACGGGACTTATTAAATTCCAGCTGAAGTTTTTTGTTTTCCCTCGGCTGTATTTTAATAAAACAAAATAAATGCTGGTTTACCTTTAACAGGCTAATGTCACCAAGTTTAAGTTTGATCAAGGTTGTCGTCTCTGGAGGAGGACACTGTCTCGTCCTCACAGTTTAAAGTTTTCGTCTGTCCTCAGGCTCCAGACAGTGACCACACAAAACGATGTGGGTGTGATTTCCATACACATATAAGCTCATAAGTGGATAAAGGGATCTATTGTCTAGTTGTTGGAACTTACTGCAGCCGTGTTCTCTTTGTCTGGAACACCCAGACAGACAGTTGGTGTGTGATGCAGCGCTGCATCACCACTTCACTAAATCTCTTTAATTGTCGCGTAAAGTGAAGACACGGTGACGTCTGCCGACCTGAGCTGCTCCTTCAGGATCCTGCAGATAGACGTAAACGCTGGAAGGGGATTCCCAGTGTCTGAGTGTCTGTGTGCTATCACGTCTCGTAGCTCCCTCAAGTGAACTTCATCATTGTGAACAGTCATAATATTCAGCAGGAGCCGCTCTCTTGAACGTGGAGCGTGAAATATGAAAGAAAAGTATATTCAAAAAGACAAAACACAAGCAAATTCAGAAAATATCTTCATCAGTGCACAACATCACACATGCAGCAAATACACATAACGACCAAATATACACGCGGAACCAAGTATATTATCTGGATATTTTGTGTTTTTGTACACTAAACCTCGTCTGTTCACAGCTTCGGTGTTGTACTACTACTTCTACAAGAGGACCGCAGAGTATCTGGGCGACCCTCGTCTCTACGAGGACTCACAGTGGCTGCGAGACGTCTTCGCTCAAGTCAGACAGTGAGCACACGAGGCCACAGACGTCGGATCCAGAGCACAAATCGAACATTTAACAACATATTTAAAAACATACGATGGGAAAAGTGACCGCTTCAACACGCTTGTTTTTAAAGGTACAGTTACATTTTGAAAGCAAAAATACGAAAAGTTTGAACAAGAAATATATTCTGGTCTAAAAAGCATTTCTTGAAACGCAGGTGCCAAACTCCGGCAGGAGTTAGAACGTTAAGGCCAGAACGTCTCACGAGTCTCGTTTTGCTGTTTGATGACAACAACGAATGAAAAACATTTTCCCGTTACATTTTTTGAATTCTGTTGGTATTCTGTCACCACATGCCCTTTCTTTCTTTTCTTTTTATAATGCTTTGAATTTTTTAAAGGACTATTCTGCATTTTATTTATGTGATCATTTGTGTTGCTTTCGAGTTTGTTTGCACTGTTGATGTTGAACTTTTGAGGCTTGTCTAAATTACTCTGTGTGTGTTTCATTCGCAAAATAAAGTGTTAAAATACAAACAGTGTACATGTGCGTTATGTTATCACAATCCTGTGTCAGAGTTTGCTCCAGAGCATGAAGCCAGCTGACTGAAGCGGAGCTGATCCCTCAGCTCACTGAACTCTGTGAGGAGCAACTCCTGCTGCAGGTTCCACTGAAAACACGAAAAGAGGAAGAACGTTTTATTTGAGTCTGGAGTAAAATGAAAACCAAAAAATAATAATTACAGCGACACGCTCACCCAAATAAATCCATTAAGACAAAATGAACGACAGATACAGAGGCTTAGATGGAGAACAACACCACCAGACAACTCACCCTCAATGCAAACTTGTGAAACTGCTCCGCTTCCTCTCGTCTGCCGGTCTGAAAACAAACGGTTTGTCACACGTTAGATCAGATCCCTGAGGAACAGAGAAAAAGTGATGAGTGCGTTTTAACTGTGTCCCAGTTCAGGGACTCCAGGGACGCACGTGTGTCCTCTGAGTGGAGTTAAAGGTTGAACTGAACTTCTCGGGATTGTGGGAGCACAGGATACTCAGGCTGTGTGCCCATATTTGGGTAAAGAAATACTTTATGTCGACCCTTTGAGCCATTTTTGGAACCGAACTGGGACGCGGCTTGTTTGTTTTCAGAGCATCGTCATCACTCACCCTGAGGCAGATAAGAGACAGGAAGGCCCACACCTCTGCATTCTGGTTGTTTAAATGGTTGGCCTCGGTCAAAGCCTCCTCAGCTACAGACAGATTCTCCAACTACACACACACACACACACACACACACACACACA